GTTAACCCATTACAACAGCTCTTACAAATTGGCAGTACAACTTTTTCCATTTTGAATCGAAAAATCAACCGAGTTGGATATTCTAAATAAACAAGTTAACAACCCAGATCATTTGGCGTCGAAATATGTGAAATCGAGTACACGGGATATCAGCCATCAAGCCATCAAACTGTGAAATCCATCAGGTTACGGCAGCAATCCGGCAGAGTCAACCCGACCGAAAGACTGACTGACTGACAGCTCCTGACAAACTCGTACGTTAGGATGGATGCGATGTGGGACGCAGCAGGATGGCTGCCGTGGGTAATGGGCACTTAGGTCGCTGCCACATGATTACGACATTAAAGGGGAAATCGGATTGGTAGAGGAGAGGTGGAGGAGGAGTAGGACTCCGAATCGGGGGCTGAGTGACTGAACGGAAAATGTGTAAGCACTGCCAGCCAGAGGAAGAGAAGGAAAGGTTGTGAAAAAATCAGGGAAAATATGAGACCAGGATATGGGAGGACTAAAGAGCGATGGCAACACGGAGCATAAGTCGAGGCAGCAGCAGCATCAGCAACGAGGTCAATGAGTTGACACGTACACAGCAACCAACCAGGGCAGCTGCAGCTCCCACATAGAGCTCGCTCGAGGGCAACGCCTCGGTTATGGGATGCCATTCCAAACCCATCCGAGCCTCCCCTACCTCCCGAGAGTCCCTTTGTTATCCTGCCAGAGCAAGTGATACAGTTTTATGCATGTTTTCCAGGCATCCGAGCTTCCTCTCCGCCAACAAAAGAACAGTTCGGGTACAAAAACCTAAAGCATACAAACGTATGCATCTCATCTATGATACCAAAATTCATTGTATGTATCCTTCCGCATCTGCTGCTGATATCCTGCATGTACACAAGGAATCCTCAAAATGAAAACCAAACTTTGTGGACATGGAAATGCAATTCGTGTAACGAAATATTTTATTGCTCCTCCATTTTGTTGATGCCAAAACAAATTTGTTTTTCAACAACAGGCACATCCTATTGGGTTAAGCATGACAGGACACTGGACATTTTTTCCATCTATTTTATACCCAAAAAGGGACAGGAATTAAAGTGTGAGAAGCTGTAGATACTATATATATTAAATTAAGCTTACGTTTTTATCATTTTAATTTAGTGGGAGAGTAAACAAAGTTCAAAAATTGTTTGCCTTAGACCCAGAGTAATTAACAAATGACAGTTGGCCATTGACAAACTGACCCCTCAACTTGTTCCTTCGCAAAAACGAGCTCTCCCATCAATGTCGTTCACATGCCTGTTTACGTCACGGGATAAATCGAGTCAGAGATGTGACAACAACTACGTGGTCTGGCCGTAGGTCTCAATTAAGAATCGAGATGCGGGTGAGCACATGGCAGCAAATAGGAGGCAAGGTGCAAACATTGACCCAGCCCAGAGTCAATTAATGTGCGGCCAGCGGACGGACATTGGTGGGAGATTGCACATCGACAGAGGGGCAGCAGGACCAGGTTTTTCAACATAAATCAAACGATTGAGCCAAATGACTTTTTAATTGACTGACGGCTTGGTAGGGGAAAAGTCTCAACTGATTTGGGGGCCTGAAAAGTTCCTCTGACGCAAAAACCAATAAACAATTTCGATTTACAATTGAGCTGGCAGAAAGGGAAAGAGCCAGAAAACGAGGAAAAACTTCGATTGACAGCCACATAAACTTTCCTTACTATCGAGGGCTCTTTTGCACAGAGGAAAAACGGGGAAACACATGATAGGAAGTATACGAAAATTCTTATGGGTATTGTTAACAACAAAGGACTTTTTAAGTTCCTAAAAATAAGAAGAAGAACTGACTTCTAATAACCCTTTAAAGTGTATACCAAACCCATATGGGTAATGGTTTGTTAGTTCTCCCAGTGTTCTTTTATGTGGGAATCATTCGACTGAAAATTCGGTGAACATTTTTGGCTGAGCTCAACCGCAAGACATCCATCATTCGTGATGTGTGCCAGGCCGACGTCACTCCGGAATGCCGGAGGAAAGGTGAATGAATGAGCATCGCCAGGTCGTAAAGTGCAGTCGGCCAAGCCAGGCAGGCAGTCTGTCACAGTCGACATATGGCCTCCCTTCATTTTCCTTCTCCCCAAAAGCTCGCTGGTGTGTGCAATTTATTGGCAATTTCATTATTTATAAGCGATTTTCATGGCACCTTTGCCATGTATGCGTTTATATTTGATCGCTCTGCCAAGGTAGACAGGTGTAAGAAAGGTTCTTTTTCTGGGAGTGGACGCACTTGGCTCGACGACCTTACATGTACCAGCCACACTATTCCCCAACAATATCCTAGGTCTCGACACAATCTCTTTATTTCTTCTTCCCTTCAATTGTCAACACTTTTACGGCAGTCATTCTGTGGCGGAAACGGGGTAGTAAATGGGTCTCCCACGTCCCCAAGTTAACCCATGTATTTTATCTGACTCTTACGTCTTACACAGTAAAAAAATAGGGGCTAGACAATATACGTTTAAGGAAAATAAATATAAAATTAAGCTATAAGCTTTGTGTATTCTTGAGTATCCTGGAGTATAAATAAGCTTGAAATCTGTCAGTATTTTATTTGTATACAATTTTCTTGTAAATAATTTATAAAATCATAAATTCATCACACTTAAATCTTCTTATTTTATACCATTGCAGGGTATTATAATTTTAGTCAGATGCTTTAAGAGCTGTGAAGGACTCATTTCCGACCCCATAAATCATATATATTCTTGATCAGCATTAAAAGGCGAATCTTTCTAGCTATCTCCGGCAGAAAATTAAAATTTTCCAAAATTTTCCATTTTTGTAAAAAAAGGAAAGGGGTTACATCATTAAAAATGTCAAAAATTGAACAAATTTTTCATTTTAAGTTGAGTATGCAGATTTATAAATCTAATAAAAACAAGCATAGTTACACTTTCCGAATTGAAATTAATGCATTTTTGGCTGAGTTATGAGTTTTTTAAACTTTGATATATCTTAAAAATTCGTTTATAAAAATATCAATAATTATCGTTATGATTGATTTCCTATTCAATTCAATTCCAAACTGCAAGGGTATATAAACTTCCTCTTCCCGAAGTTACTTTCCTTGCTTGCTTTCAAATATTTCCTAAAAATATTAAATGAAAAACACACTTTATAAATTTATCTGTAGTTTAAGTGTTGCCTTTTGTGCTCTCTTGTCCTTGGCACACACAAATAGCCCCGGACTCACACTCAATTAATGCCAATTGATTTGTGATGGCAGACGCGCCATTTGCCTGTAGTTTGTTTTTTTCCAAGCTATTATTCCAAACAGCCATTTTCCATCAGCAGTCGCCATACTGGCTGAGCGGTTGCAACTACAGCTGCATCTGGCTGATCCTGCGTCCTGCTTTGCAGCCAGATGGCCTTCGGACATCATGCAAATTGGCTCAACGCAGTTTACATAAGTACAAAATTTGTCTGATTTATTAATGCTTTTATTTGGAAGGCCAAACTTTTTATTGGCCTGGCTGCTGGTAGAGGGGCAGGTGGGACCGACTGTCTTGGGCCAACAAAGGCAACAAAGGCGGACACAGGCTGCGGCCGGGCACTCAACGGATGCATTTACATAATACCCATTCCGTTTATTTATCTATTTACGGGCTTACACAAAAATACCCCGATGAACGGAGGGTGTCGAAGGTGTTCGTCCAATTTAGTCGAATACACATTAAAGTGCTTAGGTAAATTCTTGGCCGGAAGATATAGTTGGCCCTACTGCTGCTGCTGCTGCTGCTGGTCTTTTGACACTTGTATAGTTTCACTCAATTTCAATAAGTGTTCAATGGCTATATAGGTCGCATGTGTGTGTGTGTGTGTGCGGTGCTCGAGCAGTTGTGTTTGTGTTGCCACGGATAAGGATACCCAGGATGGGCCAGGGCCGCAGACGCCCATGCTCCGGCCTCAATTTGAGGAGCTTTGCAGGCTTATTTGCTTTACGCTTTAATAAATTTCGAATTGGGTTCGAAGGCAAAGGGAGAAGACCCGCCTGAAACTGATAGCCCAGGACAATACAATGCTCCTGACATCCCACAACAGTGGCTGAAGTTGCAGAGCCTTGAGTTACCTCAATCGATATCTTGAATATTGAGCAGGGAATTTACTGACTCTCGCTTCTGGCCTGGGCTCTTGATTAAGGCAGGTTTCATATATCAACTCAATGAAAGTTTCTTTGAATAACTTATAGAGTCTCCATACATGCCTTTAAAAATACGTACAACAACACATTCCTATTCAATAAAATTCCTATTAAGGTAAATTAAATTAATTATTAAAATCTGACCGAGTCCATTAAATGTTTCTTCCATTTCCCTTGGGTTCAAAATTCCTTTGGCATTCCCCCTCCAGCTTAATAAAATTGTTTTTAAGCTAACCCATGCCCCTATAACTTTTTGCATTAGTTTTAGCCAATTGCACACAAAATTCAATTTGGAAAATTTCATCAAATAATCCCGAGGGAATGTTCAAAGCCAGAAATACCCCTGAGCGACATTTGCTTTTCTTTTTTTTTTATGTGGCAAAACGCAAACATTCAACAGTTTGGTGTGCTTGGGGATGCTCGTCGCTGAGGCATGTCCTTAAATTTGACATTCCAAATTCCATGTATGTATGTCTATTAAATGCACACACAAATATTTAACATGCCAGGGCGAGGGAAATTCAAATTCGAAACTTACACAAAGAGCATGTCGAGCCGGGCTTGGGAGGACATCAAGGACCTGCCAAAAGCAAACGCTTTCCGAGTCAAATACAGGGAAAAGCATTTCACATTTTTGGTCATTTCATGCCCGTCATTTTTCACGCTTGAGTTTGTGTTTATGGCAACGTGAAAATGATTTTGCCGTTTACTTACTTTGCTCGTTCCAAAGTTTTCAAGTTTTTCCCCTAACAAATTCCAAGCACACACTTTAATTTATATTTTGATTAACGCCTTTGCAGAAATACAATATCAGCACCGAGAAATGCGGGGATCTGACCGTAATAGTGCAGGTAAGCAGAGGCGCCCGAAGGCACTTGACCCCTTTGGAGGACCTGATAATATTTATTTCCTTGTCATTTAGGGCGACCTGTCCCAGCAGGAGAAGCGAGCCGTATTTATCACGGTCCACGACCTGGGCTGCAACCGTAAGTAGGGGACTCCCCGGAGAACTAATTGCCTGCCGGCGGTGGGGAGCACAAAGAGAACTAATGGCGCTTGGCCGCAGATAATTCCTTCCAGGAGTTCGTGAGCAGCCCCTGCATGACGGAGATCAAGGAGCGCTCCTGCTTCATACACGTGGATGTGCCGGGGCACGCAGACAACGCCGATGCCTTGGCCGATGGCTTTCCGTTCCCTTCGCTCCAGGCTCTGGGCGAGGACCTGGTCACCGTGCTGGACTATCTGCACGTCAAGTACGTGATTGGCTTGGGTGAGGGCGCCGGTGCTAATGTCCTGGCCCGCTTTGGCTTGGCCCATCCCAGCCGGGCACTGGGTCTCATTCTGATCAACGCCACGGGCAGTGCCGCAAGTGTTGTGCAGTCATTCAAGAACAAGGTGGGTGGCATTATAAATTACTTGGTATATAAATTATTGTTTCCAATATTGCATTTTTGTCAGAACTAAAAATAATTTATATACATATCAAGCATTTTGTAACTATGTAAACAAAGTTGAAGTTAGTGTGCATGAACTAAACACTAATTACTCTCCATTCTCTGTGCCGTTGCAGTTCATTAGCTGGAAGAGCGACGAGGTGGCCCAGTCGGCTGAGAGCTTTCTGATGTACCACAAATTTGGACATGTAAGTAGGAGTCCTCAGATGGGGTGGAGGTCGGCTCCACTTCCCATCGAGCTAAATGTACCACTGGCTGTGTCCGTGGAGTTCGTGTTGTCGTTGGTTTGGTCTCAGTGTTGTACTCACTTTACCTTCTGTTCTATTTTATGTTTAACTTAACAACCAACCGCTCCAAACGAACCCTGTTCGTCTGCGCTTTCAGGTTATGGAGGTAAACAGATCAATCGTCACTTTATCAAGTCTCTTCCTCAGCCAAACCATTTCGCATACCTCCTTCTCTCAATCGGTGCTGCAGTCCTGCTAGTCCATACAATTTTATTGCTTCTGATAGTTTTAGGTCCATTTTTTTAGTGCATGTTTAATTTGTTGATTTATTTTATTTTATTTTGAATTTCTTGTTACTTTCTTCTAGAAACGGGTATGTACATAGTTCCCGTTCCCCCTCCATTCATCCGGCAATAAATTGGCCAAAAGCAAGAAACTGTCGAACAAAATTTGGAAAGAAAAATAATTGTGCAACAATCGCTTTCTTTCGCTTTTAGTTTTACTTTCTTATATTGTATGCTTTTGTACTTTTTGCATGCTCGTGATTGTCGTAGTCCGTAGCTTAGTGTTGGGTGCTAGCTTTAACTTTCACTTGTCGACCATCGGTCTCATGCAAACTTTCCGCTTACTGACACTGCACAAAAAAAAACTGGTGAAACGCCGAACTTTACAGCAAATCGTGGGCGAAAATCCGGACAAGGACAAGATCGTGGCCGAGTACCAGAAGCGTTTGCATCGCTCCCTAAACAGCAAGAACATCGGTCTCTACGTGAAAGCATTTATGAAGTAAGTTACAGAGTTGTGTGTTAGATAAAGTATATCAATTATTAATTTATAATGAATTCTTTCTATAAAAATCAAATTTATTCTTTCCTTATAGTCGAAAGGACTTGACGCTCAAAGGCTGCAAAGTGGATGTCATCCTGATCACTGGCATGCTGAGCCCCTATGCCTCCATGGTTGAGAAGCTGCATCGTGATGTGGAGAAGGAAAGGGTGACCATACTGAAGATCGAGCGGGCTGGTGATGTTCTCGCCGATGCTGTAAGCATTCCATTGAATAAAAATTACTTTTTTAATAAATAATATTAAATGATCTCCTCGCAGCCTGGAAAAGTGGCCCAGTCCATATTGCTGTTCTGCAAGGGCCAGGGCCTGCTCACATCGGTGGTGATGCCGGGAGTGGATCGCGGTCGCGCCTTCTCCACCGCCAGCTCAGGTTCCTTCGAGGGCGCCAATGGATCCCGGCGCTTGTCGCGCGGCATCTCGATGGAGGACTACGACAAGCCCAACATTCGCCGGCTCAGCATCATGAACAGTGAGTTGCCCAAGAAGGAGTAAACACGAAAACTGCGAACGACCACAGCCACGGCTACACGGCTCCTTCAGGCAACAGAAGTACACACCTCCAGCGTTGGTAGATTAAGCATAATTGCGTATTTAAATTACTTAAACTAGTGAAATACCTTTAGTCTGAGAACGAATCCAGAGCCAAACAATCAACCCCAATGTAACCGCTTGCTCTTAGTCGTCGAACGAGCGGAATTTTAAGCCAAATTTTAATTAGCAATCGCTTCGAAGCAAACAGAAACACTCATCATCCCCATGGAAGGGCAGCAACTAAGGTTGCTACGTTTAGTCTTATGTACCCTAAGAATCCCACCTGTGAAACTGTAACGAAAGCAAAGCATTCATATCTATATCTTCCACTCGAGCGAACTTAAACACAACTGCTAAATGTATGTACTATGGACAAGCAATCATCTATGTAATACCTCCGACTAGTAAACTGTACCTAAAGACACACACACATGTAGAAACTATATCGAAAAACTCTCAAATGTGACTCCCTTCCTGCTGTTTTTCCACCACGTCTTTGTATCATTTTTATGTGAACAGTTCTCAAGTGTTGCTGTTTTAGTGAACAAACAAATCATATACAACGTTTGATTAGCGTAAGTTAAAGGCACCAAATCAAGAGATGCTTATTTAAAGTATTTATACTAAACCAAAGCACACAATTTGCATATTTACGAAAATACGTGTAAACAATCAAAACCAAAAGCAATTCGCAAAACCAAAGAACATTTTAACGCCATGTAGCAGCTCTCATGCGTTTTTGAAACAAGTATTATAATTGTTTTATCGCATTGGCTTTAGCTTAACAATTTAGTGAAGACATTTAAGTCGACCAAGCACCCAGATAAATAATAGAAGCAACCACACCGTTACACAATAAAAGTTGATAATGAAACGAAAACTGTTTTTATTCTCGTTGTTGCTTCTGAGCTTGTTTTACTCTATAAACAAAATCTTGTCTCGCTTGTGTCGTTTTTCATAGGATTGTCAAACTATCGACGGAAGCTGTCTAATATAATGAGGGGCCCTGAACATTCCCATTATTCAAGTCTGTTGAATATAGCCGTAGTTCAAAATAAATCGAGGGGGCGCCTTGACCAGCAGCAGTGTGACCAGCGGAATGTCGTCACCATAAACCTAGCCGGAAGAGCAGGCACAACGGTCTTATCAATATCCAGATGACAATCGATTACTTTTATCGATAAGTCGGGCCATCGATAGTTTGACAGCCTATGTTTTGCTTAGAAAATTAAATTCAATTGCAAAATATAATGTTTATACTGAGCTAACGTGTGCCCCACCTCCGCCCCCGTCGTCCGTCAACAGCCAGGTCCGTCTTACGCTTCAATCAAGTCTACATGGACGCTCCCCCGCCGACGAAGCCTCCGAGGGGAGTGAAGTACGGCAAGGATGAGGTAAATTACTTCAAACCGTCGCTGAAAATGATTTTCAACTCGCAAATTCAACTCCCTCTGCAATAAATTTAATGGAAACCCCCATCTGGTTGCGTTTTGCTTGTTAACTAATGGTTTTTAACGCCCGTCGCCCGAGTTGCGGCTCCAAAGATGATGACGACACCATCTGGTTGTTGTTGTTGTTGCTGCACGCCCTCTTTATGTCTTACGATAAGTTGTTATTGGTAGATTAATAATGAATGTACATATGTGTTTATAATGGTGTCTTGGTTTCGTAGTCCGCAGGATGTGGCTTTCTGGTCAACGTCATTAAATCTCTGGGATTCAGCGAGACCACCGAGGAACGCCAGAAGGAGAAGCAGAAGATCGAGCAGGAGTTCAAGCGCTCGGACCTCCGGCTGAATGAGCTGGTTTCGCGTCACGACCAACAGCTGACCTTGGTGCTGCCCCTCTTCAGCCAGGTGTCCACGGAGGTTACTGCCAGCCGGGAGCGGATTCATGCCGTCAAGGAGAACCTCGGTGCTTGCAAGCGGCTGTTGCAGTGCCGGCGCGATGAGCTCAAGAAGATGTGGACGGACGCAGTGCAGCACAAATACGTGCTGGAGATGCTGGAGCAAATGTAAGGCACTCTCAAAAATGCCTATGACTTGACTAATTGCCCAATCCCTTTCCAGTCAGGAGCTTCGCAAAGTTCCGCAACGGGTGGTCAGCTATACCGCGAAGCGACAGTATCTGCACGCCAGCAAGGCCCTCACTGATGCCTTGGCTACGCTAAATGGGCCACTGAAAGCCGTCGAAGGTTTGTCCGACCTGCGGGCCGATCTGCAGACGCGTCGCCAGCAGCTGTACCAGCGATTGCACGAGGAGCTGGTCAGCCAGGTCTACACCAACTCGGCCAACGAGGCCTTCTCCACGTTCCAGCGCAGCAACTCTAGCCGTTTGAACTCCAGCTTCACTCGGGGAATTGGAGCACGCCGCTCCACGGATCGCATCGAGGCGAACGCTCGAGTGCGCAAGGCTCTTGCTGAAATGGCACAGAACTTTGATTTGGACAAGGCCGAGGTCATCGAAGATGCAGATCTTATTTACCCCGAACTGAGTATGAGCTACTTTGTTGCCATCATTGTAGAGTCATTCGGTATGCTGCACAAGGTGCCCGACTCCCTGGAAACGCTGCGCGTTCAAATCCAAACGGAGCTGCTAAACGTTGTGCGCCAGACAACACAGCAGCTTTCGCTGAGCGGAGCTACGGGAGAGGGCAATCCGCTCCTCATGCTGTTGGAGATAATCTTTAAGCAGTTTAAAGCTATTGCCAAGACGCATACCCTGCTGCTGAAGAACTACCTGTCGGTGGGCCAGAAGTACTCGGTGGTGGGACCTCAACCCTACGACCTCACGGACTTTTGGGCCCAGGCTCAGTCAGTGGTAAGTGATAAGTACCTTAACTTGGGGGACTCTGCATATTTAAAATAATTTTCTTCCAGTTACAACTGCTGCTCACCGATTACTTGGACATACAGAATGCTGCCTCAGAGGAGAGTGCCCAGACGGGTTTCTCAGAGCCGACGAGCAACATAAATTCCTATTTCCTAAGGCGCAAAGTGCCAAGGTGAGCTTATAATCAGTAAAATGTGTACCTATAATGAATAAGCTTATTCCATAAACAGCACTAAGCGCTCCATGTTCAAGTTCGACAAGTCTTCGCATGTGGGTGGCGGCAGCAACAATGAATCCTTCAAGGAGCATCGTCGCAACGCATCAGATGCCTCTGTGGATGATAATTTGGGCGCCCAGCTCGGGGGCAGCGGCAAGGGCTCGACCAGTGGCCTCTTTCCCCACGAGAAAAAACAGCGGGAGAAGTTGTTGATATGCACGCCCGATCAAAATATCATAACCAAAGTTTATCTGCCTCTGATGGGATACATCAAAGAGATAGAGAACTTCATGAAGTGCAAGCCAGGGTGAGTTTCCCACTCAATAATTGCATCTTAAATCTATATTCCTTCTTGCTTACAGTCAGCCCTGCAGTCTGCATGACTTTTTAGACAACTATATTAAGGACACATTCCTATCCAAGGGCCACAACCGTAACCTACAGCTGACCATCGAGTCGCTGTCGAAGAATCAGGATGCGTGGCGCACTATTATAAGTCCGGAAGAGATAAAAACACTTAACCTGAGCAGGCCTCTGCTGCAGTCAACTGTGATGGTCGAGCGACGGCTCATGGAAACAAAGAACCTCATCCAGGACCTGCCTTGCTACTCGGAAGACCTGCTGAAGATGGTCTGCGCTCTTCTCAAAGCCTACAGAGAAATCTGCCAGGCAGCGTACCGAGGAATAGTGCAGCCAGATTCCGAGGACAAGAGGATATACAGCGTGGCCTGGCTAAAGGACGAAGACATTAGTAGATTCTTAAAGTAAGTATTAAACAAATTGAAATCCAGCTTAAACATTATTTTAAACTGCGTCGAATCTGTTAGAACGCTGCCCAACTGGACGGACTTGAAGACCTCCAGTCAAAAATCGCGGCATAACCGGAAACTGCATCGTGGAAGCTTCGAGCCCTCGGAGGAGGAGAGTCCCTTGCAGGTGCAGCAACGCAATGTCCGTGAGGCCGAGATGCTGACCAGCAACCTTGGTGAGGGTGGTATCACCCAGCAGGAGATTCTGGTCGAGATCAGTGTGCTCAAGGAGCTGGCCATACTGCAGGAGAGCATGGAGTGGTTCTCGTGTCGCGTCTCTGAGTTCGCCAATGATCTCCGTCGCCCGATGGTTAATGGACTGAACGCCGTCTCAGCCGAGTGCAGCGCTGACATTGCCGTTAAGGATGGAACCATCAAGGTGATGACCAATCTGGCTTTGGAGTTTGACGAACTGGCGAACACCTGTCTGCTGGTGCTACATCTGGAAGTGCGCGTCCAATGCTTCCATTATCTACGCTCCAAGTCGAGTGTGAGGACCAACAGCTATGTAGGGTCCAAGGATGATATTCTAGAGCCAGATCGCCAGGTGCAGGTGCTAACCAAGAGATTGTCAGAGATGGACGAGGCGTTCAGCGCCACTCTGCATCCAAGAAAGACCAGGGTAAGTGATCTCATCGCAGATATGTGGTTATTTCTTAAAACGTTGGTTTCCTGTAGTACATTTTCGAGGGCCTTGCGCATTTGGCGTCGCGCATCCTAATCCAGGCCTCCAATTATCTGGAGCATATCGATCAAATAACTGTCCAACGCATGTGCAGGAACTCGATTGCCCTGCAGCAGACGCTAAGCAACATAACTGCCTCCAGGGAAGTGGCTTTGGATCAGGCCAAGCACTTTTACGAGTTGCTCTGCATGCAGCCAGATGTGAGTGCTTTTGTGTATAAGTTTTAATTTTAGCAATAATTTATAATTTTTCTATTAATTAATAGGAAATACTGAATGCATTGTTGGAACGGGGCACACAGTTCTCGGAGATGCAGCTGCTTAATGCTCTGCAGTTGTCGTGCAAGTCCTTCGGGATAACAGACGCCAATCAATTGGCTTCCTATCAGCAAAAGCTCTCTGATATACTGGGCGCCAAGCCCTCCAAAGGTGTTGTTGTGTAATTAAAGCTGCATGCAGCCAGCCGGAGGAGAGATCAATTTTAATACCAATATGTTTGTATACATCGGCATTAGGTGTAAGGGCAACGTGTGCGTGTTAAGTGTTAAGCTCAAAATGAGGATGAATGTTCAGAACATGTTTGGCGAGCACTTGGTGTTACGATGTAGTCGTTTAGACAGATATATATATTCTAAAGTTCATTAACAAGTACTTTAATGGCTTATACACAATAAATGAGAATTTAACAACGATGTTTGAGTCTATTTTTATTCGGGAGTACAAATTCTAAGCAACTACATATTAAGACTTAACATTATAGTTGATCACTTCAATGGCTGTTCTCCATCGCTGTCGCGATGCTTACTCAGGACATGGCGCTTTAGGTGGTGCTTCTCCCGAAAGTCCTGAAGGCATATCAGGCACTTGTAGGGCCGCTCGTCTGAGTGACGGCGCCGGTGCTTGGCCAGGTTGTTATTATCGGAGAAGGTCTTGGGGCAGTGTGGGCATTGGTAGGGCTTCTCGCCCGTGTGAGTCCGGATGTGGACCTTGAGGGCCTGCTTCGAGCGGAAGTTTGAGGCGCAAATCGGACAGCTGTGCGGCCGCTCTTCCAGGTGGGTACGGACATGAACCTTAAGAGACGCTTTGTTAGCGAATCCAGCACGGCACATGGTGCACTTGTGGGGACCGATGGCTAGCTGGCCGGTTTCGTCTGCCGGGTGAATCAACAGGTGGGCTTTAAGGTAATGATTGTGGGTGAAGGTTTGCGGGCAGTGTGGACACTCGAAAGGTCTCTTTTTCATCGGCTGGCATTTGTGGATGTCCAAGCCACGGCTTGTGGAGAAGACCTTTAGGCAAATGGGGCACTCCACGGTGGGGTCACTAATGCTAAAACACAAATGCTTATCCAAATCGGTTTCAAACATGAAACTTTCTCCGCACGTTTGGCAAGTGCAGGACTTTTTTTGAATTCTATGGAAATAAATACAAAATTAGAATAGATTTCTAAAATTATAAATTAAATTTTCTTACTTATTATGTTCCAACAGACTGTTTTGGTACTCCTTGCTGGACTCGCGTATTGCCTGTTGGACTTTCTTTGGTTGACCAGGAACCATTTTTGGCAGTTCTTTTTTGGTACTTGTCTGGTCAAAGCTCTCCTCTCTTATATCCACCAGCAGCTTTATATCCACAGCGTTGTCAAAGTGCTCCTCGATAATGAAGTGGTCTCCTGGGTCCTTTGACTCTTTCTTGATTTCCGGTTGATTCGCAATCGCCAAGTAGAATTTCTGGTAGCTCTGTTCGCATCTGCGCTTGAATCTATAAGCAATCTGAGCGTCCTGGATGCAGTTCCTGCAGATTTTCTGTGGCAAGGGATCACCAGAATCTATTTGGACTTCGGCGCATTTCTTAACCATGTCGGCGAGATTGGGCTCCACTTCTCCCTTGAATTGTCGCCGTTGGCGTTGGTCGAAAATACCCACCAAGGTAATGGAGTGAGTGCCACATATTCGACACAGGTTCTCCATTATTTTAATTAAGTTAAATTTGTTTAATCTATACTTATTTCCTTTTTAAATTTCCAGAAAAGTGGATGCTTTGCTTGTTTGTACGAAACTTAGCGATGGAAACTTTAGCCGTGACTGGTCCCAGTTCCCTAAAATCACAGCTTACTCTTAGGAATTCTTAAAAAGAAAAGGCCGCTTAATAAGTTAAGTTGTTTTAAATTGTGTTAATAATAGATTACTTTTTGTAATAACAATGTAAATTATAAATATTTTCCTAATAAAATGTTAGGAGTTTTAAATTTTAAATATCGATAACGTCTTTTATCGAAAATATAAGTTTTAAAATTCCCGGGCTTTTGTAAGAACTTAAGCTAAACTTTTTTATCATTTTCTAAGCGAAGAGTATCTACTAGTTTCTATAAATTGGAATGGCTTAAATCGAAATAATGTTAGTCATAGAAAATTTATAAATTAAATTTTAAACGGTACCATGTAATTTACGCTTCAATTACAATAACATTTAAAAGCTTATCTTAGTTCCCAGTTGTTTTATTCATTTCAAACATGCACAAACTAGGCGGGATAATAGTTTTAATTATTTTAATAATCTTTCTGTCATGGAAGTGCTACAGGTATAATTCTCTATATCTAGAATTATGTCGAGAAATTAAAGAACAGGTTGAAATAAATAACAAACAGGTAAGAGCCCTCCCTGTATTCAGTGATATAAAATATAACAATACTAGTTTTAATTTAGAGTACATAGTTGAGGGCATTCTAATTCTAGTCAAAAGCTTTAAACGCCATGAAGGAGTCATATACATATATTCTTGATCAGCATCAACAGGCGAATCTTTCTGGCTATCTCCGGCAGAAAAACAAAATTTTCCAAAATTTTCCATTTTTGCAAAAAATTTAAAGAATTAAAAATGTCAAAAATTTTTATAATTTTTAATTTTAAATTGAGTATGCACATTTATTAAACTAATAAAAACTAGCATAACAACGCTTTCCGAATTGAAAATAATGCATTTTTGGCTGACTTAAGAGTTTTTTAAACTGAGAAAGAAAATACTTTCAAACAAAATATTTGTAATACATGCTAAAATAGCATTGATCTTCGTCCCTTATGTTTACAGTTAGCTCAAGGTGCGAATTTGTATATATTGAGAGCCGTGAATTTTTATATCTCTGCCTGATTTTACTTAGTTGTTTTTTTACGAAATGAGCTGAGTCAAGAAACCGGCTTACCAGCGAGAATGCCGAAGAGAGGTGGTAAGACAGCTCTCCTCTGTCCACTTTGCTGGCCGAAATTAAGCACCGAATGTGACAAAACGGTGCTCAGTTGTTGAACTAAAATCGAATCCGACGGTCGCATAAACTTGGGCTTGGCATTCGTCGAAGGCAGGCCAACAGCGGACACACAAACCTTCATTATCGCACCCATCGAAGGAAGGCCAATTGATTTACGTAGATAAAACCAACAACATATTGACCAAGCATGTTCAGGTTAACCACTACCTTAAGCTTTATGCTCCTGATCCTGAGTTGTGGCTGGGCGGAGATAGAGGAGAAGCCCCGGGAAAAGCGTCAGGCGAATAAGGTTCGATTGGGTTTTTGAAAAAAAGGCAATACCATTTATAATATATTTTCCAAAAAGTTTATAGCTTTTATAAATCCAAATCATCTTTTTAGATTGTTTTTTATTGCTTTCAAAGAAGACATTAATAAAATTCGAATTAACTCTTTTGAATATTAAGTAATTTTTAAGAACTTAATTCACATAAAGATAATATTTATGTGGAGTTTCGACTTCTTTAATGAGCAATTTATTTAATAAAATTAATAGCGAAATTAAACAAATGTCCTATTAACCCGTAGACCTTAATTTTTAGAAACCATATACATTTATTAACATTTAAAAATCCTCCCCAGATTCACATAACGTTGCTCTACGAGTCCCTGTGCCCTGACAGCAGGCAATTCATGCATCAACTGGGTCCCGTGTACGAAGAGTTCCAGGATTACATTGACATTCTGCTGGTTCCCTTTGGGAAGTCACATTCCGAGCGAAATGGAGCGATCTTTCACTGCCAGCATGGACCGCCCGAATGCTTGGGAAATCGGCTCCAGAGTTGCGTCATCAACAGCACCGGAAACCAGGCGGCGCAGGTGAAATTTGTGGTGTGCCAGATGCTGGCTCCGGACTACTCCCGCGTCGATCAGGTACTTTCACCTCTGCTGATGTTTGCCCAGCTAATTAACGACTATTGTCCGGAAATCTGTAATAAAATAATATCCCTAAACCGTTTGCAGTGCGCCAGGGAGGCGGGTCTGCTCAGTGACGTTGACCACTGCCTGTCCAGTGAGACGGGGACCAAGCTGCAGCTGCAGGCGGAGCTGGTGACCAAACAATACAGGCCAAGCTTCGTTCCCACCATCGTCTACAATGGCGTAAGTACCAGCGATCGATCGCAGCCGTAATCGAATGCATTTAACTGGTTTTTTTGGATTCGTATTCGTATTCGTTTCGTTTCCACATGCAACAGGTCTTTGATCAGCAGCTGCAGGACCATTCGCTGCGCGATTTCCGCGGCACGGTGTGCCATGTGTTGCGTCAACAAAACTTGCTGCCCAACAGCTCCGCAATCTGCCAGTAGATCTGCTAAATGTTCACTGTAACTGCCACAAGATTGGAATGAAATTAAAATTCACTAACTGGTTTCTGCGATCGAACAAGAATATCTCACTAGGGTGGAATGGGAAACATATTTAAGCATTAAAACGCAAAGGTCAAAGAGAGAAAATACAATAAAATATGTTTAAATAGTTATTATCTCTACATAAAAAGCAGTAAAAGTAAACAAACGTTAACTTTAATCATATTTTCTCTCTCTGAGCCCGACCTCATTTAGATAATAATTTATATTGATACGTAAGATACAGTTCATCAATTACATTCGTGTATATATTATATAGTACATGCAGTGCGTAGGGCATCTAATTTATTTACAGGGGGGCATACAATATAAATTCATTATTTTTGGAATGGGGGAGACACAAACATAGTGATGATGAGGGGGTATGGGGAATATCGTTAGGCTTTTTCCTCTCGATGAACCAACAACAAATGACTTAACGGCTACTTGCTAATGGATAACCTACAACTAGGATTTCAATTTCTTGCACTTTGTGTTTGCTGTGGTCGCTGACGGGTGTGCAGAAATAACAATTTGTAGACGACGGGTTTCCGTTGTGTTTAAAGCATTTTCCCACTCAGACGGCCGTGCCCGGTGCCTTGCCAGCGGCTGGAGTCGCTGGGGCGTTGGCGTTGGCCAAATTGAGACTAAGCGAGCGACGCGGTGCTGGCTTTGGCGGAATCTGCGGCTTCACGGGTGCCTTCTTGGCCAGCGTTAGGCTGGCTTGGCTAACGAGCGCCTGCTGCACTGGCCGCTCCTTCTCCTGGAACTCCACGTAGCCGCTCTCATCGCTGTCCGATCCGTCATCGGGATTGATTTGGTCGTTGCGCTCCTGTTTGTCCAGTTCGTCGCTGCCGGAATCGCTGCGCTTCAGCGTTATGCTGCTGGAGCTGCTGTAGTTGGTGGCGTCGCCGCTATTGTGGCGCAGCTGGTGCTCCAGTCTTTGGTAGATCATCATCTGCTCCAGCACCTGCGCCTGCTCCAGCTCCAGCTGCGACTGCTCCAGCTGGTCGCCGGTATCACCGTCCCTCTTTCCATTGTACTCCTCGTGATTGGCATTGGTGACTGTGCTGGCCGTCTCGCATCCGCTGGATATGGATCCCTCGTCGCTGTCGGGACTGGTCAGACCCTGCTGAGCGGATCCGCCGCCTGCTGCCGCCGATGTGCTGGCCGTCGTCGAGCTGGAGGCGTTCGAGGATATCGATGACTGTGCCTGGTGGCGATACTGCATGCTGGCCTGATCGCTGGCCCGCATCTTTCTCATCGAACTCCGGTGCAGCATGGTGAGCATAGCCGCATGCCGGAAATAATGGTCGTCGGCATCGTCGAGGAAGTCCTCCTCACCGTCGCTACAGACACCACTTCGACGCGGGGCGGTCACATCGTGTTCCTCGGCGGAATAGTCCGCCTCTGGATCCGCGCTGGGGTCGCTATTGATCGTGGGCAGCAAGCTCAGCGGTTCTCCCTCCTCCTTCAGGTCACTGAGGCTCACCATGCTCTGGCTGCCGTTCTTGTGCAGCTGCATATCAAAGTACGGCAGCAACTCATTGCTCAAAGTTGTGTCAAACTTGAGCAGCTTCTCGAAGTCATCCGAGTCGGAGCCATCGTTCACAGCACTTCCGGCGGAGGCCAACGTTAGAGCCTCGGCCTGAGGCACCTCCTTCACCTTCATATGCGAGCTGCAGCAGGGCGATGAGGGCAAGATCTTTCCAGTTCGCCGGATTGAGTGACCACGACGACAACGACGCCGGCCCAGAGTCATGGCTGGGTACAGCGAGTCCTTCTGACAACAGGGCATCATCTCCGGCTCGTTGGTGTCCTCGATTTCGTCGCCCTCCTCCTCACCAATGGCCTCCTCGATGGCCATCAGTTTGGGCGCCGACTTGGAGCGCTCCAGCGGCGGTCGATAGTTGTTGCCGCCCACACTCAACATGATCTTGCGGCGCGGCAGGCTCGGATTGTCGTAGACGGCATTGGCCAGGCTGAGACGAGCGTTTTGCTTCAGAATTTTCTCACGTTTAAATTCGCGCAAAGCGCTGTCCAGGTTTTCCTATAAAATAAGAGAAGGCACATCAATTAAATATGAAACCTTATTATGCAGTCCTATGGTTTTAACCTCTTCTTTTTTTTATTATAATGAACTACTAAAGACATTTTTAATAGCCCTAATCTCTGTGTTTGTTTCTTAATCAGGTGAGTTAGAGTAGAAATGACTTTACGCTTAATTTTAGCAATTGTTAGCCGCTTAAGTCTACATAATTGCAGAACGATAAGAATACAAATAAAACGTTGGTCATCGCTATTTCTGTATTTTGAATTGAGTTATGGAAACACTCGAGTCTTATCTGGTGAGTTGTATATGGATAGAGCACACAGGAAATGGAACTGAGAACCCTCAACTTACCCTCAGAGTGTCGCAAATGTCCTGGGCAATCTTCTCCTTGCTGCAGAGCACCGCATGGCAGCGCAGCTCATGCTTGAGCTTCCTGCCCTCGTGGCGGTAGATCCAGCAGAAGACCCGTGGATAGTTCTTCGGTGCACAGCAGTAGGTGATGCGATGGGCCCAGTACTCCGTGAGGCCATGCTGCCGGGTGGTGGCCTTCAGCCCAGAGGCGCACACCTTCAGCCGCATGATGACGTCTGGCTTGGAGTGCTGTGTGTAGTTCCGCCACAAGGTGTTCAGTTGCTTCTCCACACAACCCTCGCCTGCTGAAATAACAATTATTAGGAGGGGTTTTCTTGGGTAATAAGTAGGATCTCTGTGACTCACCCTTGGCCCAACCGGTCAGGACGTTACCCAGATACGAGACCTTAAACTCGGGATCGGGTGTGCTGATATCCACACTGTGTGTTCGCCTCCAGAGCTTCCCCAAGCTGCGTGTCAACGTGCGTATGGTCTTTGAGCTTAGCTGATCCTGGGCGATGGTGCGACCCACATGCTCCTGCCGGCTCCCGTAGAGCAAATCCCGCGAATCCGTGGTCAGGGTTACCACGTTCGTGATCTGCACGGAGTCATCACCGCCGGCCACATCGCCGTCCTCCTTGGACACCCGCTTGAAGCGCTCCAGATAGGGACCCGCTCGTCCCCGCCGCCCGCTGTAGGTATTGAACTTGCCACCCTCAACTCCGGCTCCGGCCAGTCGCTTCTGTTCCTGTTTCTCAAACTTCTTGGCATTGTATGTGTTGCCCAGCAGCCGAGCCAAACTGTTGCTCTTCACAAACTTGTGCTGACGCGGCGGAGTTCCAATTGGCACCGGCGGAAGGGGAGCGGAAGTGGCTGTTGCTGGGGGATTCTCCTGCTGCGTCTCCTGTGACTTGCTCTGACTCAGCTTCTTGCTGCTCCCGAAATGAAACAGAGTCCGGCGCTCCTTGGCTTTCTTCAGTGTGCTGGTGTTTGGTTCATTGTTTGGTGTAGTTGCTGTTTCTGTTGCGGGTGGAGCTGTGACTGCTTTGGTGTTGATCACCGCTTGACTCACACCGACCAGATCCTCGTACTCATTGTTGTTGTTGTGGTGATGGTGGTGAGTGGCTGCTATGAAGTCCACCTCATCACATCCCTCCATCGGGGACTGGGGGCTGGTACTGCTGCTGCTGTTGCTGGCTGCCATTTCGAGAATTGCTTCTGATGTAACCGATCAATATCCGTTGGCTACACACATGATAACACGGAATATCTGTAAGATAAAAGAGGGAGGGGTAGAAATAAAATTAGCATTGGCCCATTAAAGGTACGAAAACGGCTGGAAACGGTCTGATAAAGAAATTAATGGCTCAATAATTCCATTTGGGGAAAATTAGCAAACAACTAAATTAGCACAATTCAAATTAACCGCAGCCCAAAGAGGGGAAAATTACCCTGAGAGCTGAAAGTTTCCATTTGGATAATCAAGTACAACTAACTAGTTTTATCTTCAATTTTAACAGTGGCAATTAATATTTGTACCTTACTTTCTTTTAGGTAATTTAAAAACTCGAGTTGATAGTGTTAAGTTTCAAATTAAACCCACACTTTCACCCATCATTGGGCATTATATTCGCCAATTCACACCCGATTCAGAGAGTACCTTTGCCGCAACTGTGGCCAAAAAGTGTCAACTGACTAATAAATTACCCCATGATTAACACTCGGCAGCAGCTGTAAAATGTGTTTTTTCTCGTGTTTTTTTGTTTCTCACAACTTACACACACAGTGTGTGTATGCAAATGTTGACGGAATTATAATTACTATTTCTGTATCGCTTTAGGTTTAGCTGGAAAATGCCACACGACGCTTCAGTGAGCCCTCAGGTCTTGTGCATTTAACATTTTCACATTATTTAGATGGCGAATTGTTTGCTAAAAAGCCAGTTAAAGATGCAGCTATCAAGAGTCATTAACGGCGAGTATTAAATGCCTGAAAAGCACTTAGACCGATGTACTATTGTGGGGCAACAAAGCCGGTTGCTCGTCTGGTTACATTTTCCATTCGTTACCCCGGCTATATATATTTTTAGTCTCGAGTGGTAATTGTTTGAGAAGCGCAATTAGGCACAAAAAAGCACACCTCTTCTGTTGCCCCGTTAGGGCTCGACACTGAACTGAAACTCTGAGTGCCTGCCTTCTGTGATTCTCTCCCAACCGATCGACTTAATCACTCACGTAGTCGCTCTGCCTATCTGCAATTAAAAAGCACCAAGTAACCTCTAGTTAGGAGCCCCGATATCCATCACTTTCGCGTCTAATCTCGACGGTCCGCCTTAGCCAACTGCAGGCAACAATGGTATGCTTAGGTTATCTAATCGAGTTGGCCATTTCGCGTTTGGCGTGTGACTCTGATTTTTATGGCCAAGTAGCCATAAAGCTGTACAGAATCGTGCTCGTGATTTAGAAATATAAATATTAAGCTGTTCTGCCCTGTTCTGTTCTGTTTGTGGAATGGAATTTATGGTAATTTGTGGCCCCAAGTGGCCAGCCATAGGAAGTTGATATCCAATATGATATGCAATAAGTCCAATCCGATAGATCTACACGGAAAATAAATGGATTGAATATATAAATCAGCAAAAGAACAAGAACCTTAACTTGATGGATTAATATAGAAATTAGTAAATAAGCATAGGAAGAATTTTGAGAACTTAACTGTCAATATAAATAGATTTTTAAAATATTCCTATAGACTGTTCCTCTTTTGTTTTATGTTTATTATCATAATAAACCAATTTAACACACAAATAAACTTTAATAAACCATCGTAATATACCACTATAGTTATGAATAACCATTTTTTCCTCCATATAATATATATTTTTCTTTTTGTGTAGTAAACACTGGCCAGCCTCCTCGGCCTCGAACAAAAGGCAATTGGTCAGGTCTATGGCTATATCATTAGCCGTTTTTCATATGCAATGACCTTGGCTGTCTGCAGGTGTCTTTGGGGAGTCAATAAAGTAATGCTGGCTTTCACTTTTCCGTGTTTTTAGCCGCAAAAACAGCGTCTTGGATCTCCGTTTCCAACTACGATTGTTTGTTTGTATGCTTTTGGTCGTATGTAAATGTCAAAGCCAAGCCGGGGCTTCTCCCATTCATAGATCCAAGACACACAAATATGAGAAAGCCCAGTAGTAATTTTCTGCCACCCCCTCCAACCCATTGAACTGGGATCCCTTGGGGCAATGACATCCCCATATAGCCATATAGCCATATAGTCATCGTTATTCGGTTTCTCCAACGCCGCGATCAACGCGATGTAAAAGAAGGCAAAGAAAGCGCGCTGAATTTGTAAGAAAAGGTAAGCGAACAAAAAGTTCAACGAAAAAAAATATATGTAATAATAAAAAAAGAAAGAAAAGAAAAAAAACGAAGTAATTGTTTTGCCCTGCCCCACCCATTATCATTTATGCTTCTGCCTCGACTGGCGTTTCCCCTTTGTCCATAATTGCCAGCTTCGTTTTGTGCGTGAGCGCGCATTTTAAAAACCCCAACAACTCACATTAAATGAAATACGAAAATTAAATAAATAAAGCCCGGGGAGGGGGAACAAATATCGTATAAGAAAAAACTACACTTTGTGTGCGAAATAATGCAAAAAGCGTAGTGAGGAAGTGTCGCCAGGTGGACAAAATGTTAATCAATTCAAGACCTCGAGAGAAATTTAACTACTTCCTCTTCAGCCACTGGAACTGCTCCCGTGATGATGTGATTTGTGGTGAAGAACTTTTTGTATATATTCAATCAATATTTAATGACATGAAAGTGACACGGTAATTTCTTCAAAAAAAAAAAAAAGATTTAAACATTCCCCAGCCATCATTAATAAAAACTTTTACTTAATACAACACTTTGGCGCGTGTTTCTGCTGCTGCTACTTTTTCCTTGACTTTGAGTTTGAGTTTGCTTTTTGATTGATCATCTTGGCATCTTATAATTAGGTAAACTCTTTTAATTTATTTATTTGATATTTATATTTCTATTTCTGTGCCCCCAGACGCGTTCTTTTGTCCAAACTCCGAGTGCAGACAATGGCTGCGATGAGAGAAACTGCCCAGTCATTTATCAAAATGTTAAAAATACATTCATTCTGTGTTATTCTTTATTTTTTATTTTTATTTTTGGCTGTTAACAGCTAAATTTGTTTAAGCTGACTTCCCAAACGAGAGCTGGAATCGCTGGCATGTTTCCCAGGCTGCTTAAAATGCAAAAGCCACAGAAACAACATCGGAGTTATTTGTTTAGAGTCCAAACACTTGAAAGTTCTCAATAGGCCAGGCCGCGGAGTTGAACACAAAATGCAATTTATTATTGTTAAGAGCTAACCAACGAGGGCCCGCTGTGGGTATACAGTGAAACGTGGCTAAGAAGGAACATATGGAACTTGTAAAAAACTGGTAAGATCGAATGGGTAAAATATCACAACTAAGCCAAAAATGCATTAATTTCAATTCGGAAAGCGTTGATATGCTAGTTTTTAATAGGTTAATAAATCTGCATACTCAATTTAAAATGAAAAATTTTTATCAATTTTCGACAGTTTTAATGATGTAACCCCTTTCATTTTTTTTTTTTTGAAAAAATTGAAAATTTTGGAAAATGTTTTTTTTTGCCGGAAGTAGCTAGAAAGATTCGCCTGTTGATGCTGATCAAGAATATATATAATTTATAGGGTCGGAAATGAGTCCTTTACAGTGTTGCAAACTTCTGACTGAAGTTATAGTACCCTCCAAGGTATAATAAGTAAGTGGGTTAAATTAAACTCCATTGTACAAAAAAGCAAAAATTTAGAAGCATATTTATAAGAATTATAGGAAGGAACCCTTGTAAGGTTATTATAGTTATTAATAATACTAAAAATGATCTTGATTGTACTAAAATTATAACGGTATAACTATAATAATAAAATTAAAAGGTGTTCTATCCTGAACCCTTTTTGAGTTGCTTTCCCCATTTATCGAGGTTCTACTGTTGTATCTGAGTACCTGGTGCTCAGGTGCAACGATTGGTTGTTGCTGGTGGGTATTGCTGGATTGTCTGCTGGCATATAAACTGTGTCAACAGCAAATTTGAAAAGTTGATTCTAATGTTTACTTAGTGTGGGCCACACTACCAAAACACACACACACTGGGGCATAAATATCAATTTAGCCATGGTCCTCAGTGTGTGTGTGTGTGTGTGTGTGGCGGCTTAGAGCCCGCTGCAGTATGTCAGGTTAAATAAATCGTAAATTCTGAATTCGCCGTCTAAGGCACGTTGGGATCTCTCTGAGCTCATGGAGTCTGCAGCACCCAAAAATGTCTCAAAATAAATACGAAAAAAAGTGACTCGCAACTAAATTAAACAGTTTCGCAATTCGTATTCGTTGGGGTATATTTTTCTCTTAATTTTTTTTCTTATTTTTATTTGTATATATTTTTTTGGTCATGTGTGTCATGCGCATTTGTCACCAACAAAAATGCTGGCCAAGATCGGGTGAGGTGGTGGAGGAAAGGAGAAGGAGGTCTCGTCATATAAAGAGTAAGTTGAAGGAAGCTCTCCTCCGTACGTGCGAACACTTTGGAATGCATTTAATTGAACTATTGAATAAAGCATAATGCATGCCATAAATTTGTATAGAATTGCATTCTTTATAATTGATTGGCAACACACACACCTCACAAAGCCGAAAAATTAGCATCACTAACCCAAATACCTAAATCTCTGAAAGAGATGATGGAATGAAATTTTTTGAAGTAAATAAAGAAGTTACAAAAGTGTTTTTTAGCAGCTTATTCTAATTATACAAAATTATTGATATCCCATGCCCATTTAATACAAATTTTATTTCACGTTTCTTTGTATTTTATACAGCCATAAAAATAAATTAATAAGCTATTAAATAAATGCTAATGAGCCTAGAAAAAATGTATTTTTGGCTTTGCCAGATAATGTGTGTGCCTGGAATTTATCATTAGATATGCGGGCAAATATACAAATTGCTTTTCTAAGAATCTTTTATTCGCATAATTCCGCCATTACTATCGCACATGACCATCTCCATTCGGATTACATATCCCACCGCCATAACCTTCCCAAACTCACTTTGAAAACGAATTAACGAATTAAAAATTCAGTTCTCATCTCTCACAGTGAAACAAAGAAACCAATGACATTGGCCTTTTCTTCAACGTCTTTTGGGATGGAGAGAGAAAAATTCACTCGAAA